ATATGAATATATAAATTAGACAAATATAATGTTTCATAGGGCTATGTGTTGTATATATTTCTCTTGACTGAGTTAAAACATAAGTGGGTTGTTTCTGAGTGTTCTGATTGTTTGAGCAGGCAGGGTGAACCAGTAGGTGAAATGGGGTCAATAAGCATACGGTAATGGAGAGAAAGGCCTCTACAGAGGTAGATTTAGCTGTCCTGGTCTGCCCTGAAGAGGAACCCTGGACATGACGGTAATAACCATCTATGCTATAGTAATAACAAAATTATTACAGTATTTATATATATATATATATATATTATGACAGTAAAATATAGCATGTTCTCTAAAAACTTAAAATAGAAGGATAAAGTAAATATATAATAAATATCTGTGAGGATATTACAACTATGAGTATACGTAGAGGTGATCTGAGGTTTTGCTGCCCATTTAGATTTCAGTTGTAGTCTACAGTTCTGGGATTCACTGAGGCTGGGTGGATGTTCCTCAGGGGGACGTTCTCTGCTGTTTCTTAGAGTTGTGAGTTTTTTTCATATTGTTGGCAATTTTGGTGACTTGGTTCTTTTAGGTTCCAAACAATCTTTCCTTGTGAGTTCCAGTACTAGGGATTTTGCTAATTTTAGAATTTAATATTTTTAAAGACATGTACTTTATCTTCTTTATGCACAATAGGTTTAATACGTGCACCCACATACAGCCTATGCCCTTATGTGTTAGGGTTGATGTAAGTGGACATAGATATCCCCTCTGTTGAAGGGTAATCAGTGACAGATCTTGATAGGGTAGCTTTTTGCCTTGATATTTTGTGAGCATCAGCTTTTCCTTTGTGGTGAAATAGTGAAGGTGGGTTATAACATGCCTAGGTGTTAAAAATTTAATGGAGGGTGAGCAGTGCCCTATAAGCCTTGTCAAATATTAGCTCCTTTGCAGAGGACTCTGGCAGCACAGACAGAGATTTCCTTCAACATGGGGATCAATTGTTCAATATTTCTGGATTTCAGTAATCCTCTGAATCTAATATTATGGCATCTTGATTTATTGTTTAAATCTTCCATGCTCTCCTCCAGGACAGCTACTTGTTCATCATCACTTTATTTATAATGTTGTTGATTTTCTCTTCTGGCTTGGTGGGTTGTGTAGCTAAACCTTGTGTGTAGTAAACTGGCCTTCTAGTTCCGCAGCCATATGCTGTTTGATATTGGCCGTGGCAGCCTGTTGAAGGTTCTGTAGATCTCCTTTAGTTATCAGGGTATGAGTGTGGGAGTGAGGAGGTTCACTCATGTCAGATTCCAATGAAAATGGCGATGCCTCTCTCTGGGAGAGGAAAAGAAAGGCCACCGATGGGTGGATTCTCTCTTTTTTTTTTTCATTAATCAGTTTTTATTGATGCATGACAATAGTTAAATTTGGGCTCGCAGGCCCGCAGTAATAACAGAATACAAGGTTACATAGTAAAAGCATCATATATCCAAACAGAATATACATATGTGGTTAGAGTCAGTTATAGTTGCAATATCAGGTAACACGAGGTCGCAAGTGGCAGTCACTACCGTGTTTCTCCCCAGGGGGCACATCGCTACAGCTTGTGAGAACCATAGTTGTCCAGATCAGTCCACCGAGGGCTAGGGCGGTGCGGACAAATTAATATGTATCGGTACCTTAAAAACGCGTGTAAACTAATGGCTGGTTGAGTGTGAAAAGTGAAGTGTGATGTATTGTGTTAGGGTATGGCACAGCCCATAGGGAGTTCGGTGTTGGGTGGTGGTAGTAAAGAGATATGGCATTGCACAACCATTGTAGGTGGGAAGGGAAGAGGATGGTGTTGGCTCGATGAGGACACACGATAGTATGAGAGAGTCCCTCCAGCGATATGAGCTTCCAATCGTGGTGCCCTCATTCGCCCCTCGACTGCCCGCACTTGGGGATTCTCTCTTTTTTCTTGAGCCACCCATGAGGGGAATAATGTGTCAGTAGTTTAATATTCTGTTACTGGGCTCAGTATGATTTTACGGTTGGTAATGTACCTATAGAAGCTTGTAAAAATTCACAAGAAAAGTAGCTAACCTCACTATGCATTCATCTCAGACTCCATGAGGAACCTTAACTTAATTACTAAAAAAGTGCAAAATGGGAGGTCAGGGTGGACTAATCAAGTACATATTACAGTGCGCTTGGATACATTTGGCACACCCCTGGTGCAACCTTCTGTTAATAATACCTATATATTTTATGTCTGCATGTAGTTGAAATCCTTGCTTAAATACAGGTGAAGAATATATGTAAATTGTGAAAACGTAGAGTTCCCATTACAGGAAAGTGTTAATGCATCTTTAACTTTTGTGAAAATAAGCTCAGCTTCATCTACTCTCTACTTCTAGATTGTATAGTGCTGAGAGATATTATGTCACTTTATAAATAATAGCAACCACTTATAATAACTTTATAAATAATAAAACAACAACCATTCTACAATAACTTAAAAAACCACCCACTTATAATGACTTTATAAATAATAACAACCACTTTATAATAACTTTATAAATAAAACCAACGAATGATCACCACTTTTGGCAAGTTGCTACATAACATTTTTTTGATTCCCATCAAATGTAAAAAATTTTTGAGCTGGCCAACATCTAGATATATTCCAGATATACATGCTGTGAAATTTAGAAACCATCTCCTGTTGCCTGCACAAATCAAAGACTCTGATTGGCGCCATGGTCACGTGATGTCTTGGTTTGTTTTTTATTAGCAACTGTCACTAAGGGTTTGAAAATGTTGATACAAATTCAAAATGGCCTCCTCAGTACTGCAACATTGATGTCGGGCGGGCGGACTTATAAGGAGCAGCCTCATGGGGTTTGATGGAGCGGATGTTTATGGGTAAGTATCAGGTGAATGTCCAGAGGTAGCGTGAACTAGGTGTCAGGCGCAGGGCGGGAAGCGGGCGCTCAGGGACAGCTCGAATGAACTCTTATATATGCTTTTGCCACATTAATTTCCACAAGGAAATCATACTTTCTAGTTTAAACAGTTGAATTATACCCATGTTATACTATGTTTAATTTGTCATTGTTCATAGGTAGCCGGGGTCTAGTCAGGACAGATCCTAAGGGCCACATCTGGACTCCAGCCACCATAGTAACAGGATTATCATGATTGAATTGCATAATTAGTTTAAAGTTAACGATGACTTACAATGTTATAATGCTTTAATGTATCTAAGCGTACACAATAGGACGTAACTATACGAACGGCCCAGTTCTCCAGGGGTACCTAGGCCACTCGACACCCGAGAGGTGTTTATGGGAACTTGTAGGAGCACAATAGTCCCTCACTAGTTCAACACCATCTCTAAAATGCATGTCACTAATGTATCTAATGTATATAGTTATCCAACTATTACTCACCGATTCCTGTATTCCCCCCCTTGGATACCAACCCTCAAACACTGTAAGGAGCGGAAGTGCCCCATGCGAAGTGTCCCACACAATGAAAAAATATAATGGGTGATATTAAATTAATGTTCCTAAATGTATAGGGACTTAACACATCTGAAAAGTGTAAAATATTAGCACAGGAAATAGATAGGCAAAAGGCTGATATATTATTTATTCAGGAAACTAACTTCCGGAGGGAATTTGCACCTAAATTGAAATTCAAAACTATTGGGCAATCATACCTTATCAACTTTCACGGGAGTAAATCTAGAGGTGTTGCTGTGCTACTAGCATCGTACCTGGCGTATACCATAACAGCCAGTGTAATAGACCCGCCGGGGAGATATATTTTCCTTAAAGGGAAATTGAACGATGCACTTATAACCCTGGCAAACATATATGCAGCAAACAATAGGCAGGTCTCCTTTATCAAAAAATGTATGACTTCACTTGGAAAATTTGCAGAGGGAGTGGTGGTAATGGGGGAGGGGGGATTGTAATATGATGATGGACTACATTATTGACAGCTCTGCAAAAGGAAAACACACACAAACACACGAGAATACTACTACAGAAAACATTTCACTCCAACCAATTAGTCGATTGCTGGAGAACTACACACCCCCAAGGTAGGGACTACATCTACTTTTCACAAGTCGCCCATAGTTACTCCAGACAAGACATGTTTTTCCTAGATCATAGACATCTCACAATGCTTAAAGAGCCACGATAGGACCAATTACCTGGTTAGATCATGTCCCCATCTTTTTCACCCTGTCCCTTACCGAGACACAAAAGAACAGCACAACCTGGCGCCTCAATGAAACGTTATTAGAGGACGTAAGAGTAGTGGAAGACCTAATTACAGCCTTTCCTCTATACTTCCAAGAAAACAAAACTAGGGACATGGCAGATTCATGGGTTTGGAAGGCCCACAAGGGGATAGCCCAGAGGATCCTAATCAAATGAGGCCCCTGCAAAAAGAAAGAGAGGGTAGTACAAATACAAACACTCACAAATGCCATCCAAACCGCAGAACTGACACATAAAACAACACCCACTCTGGAAATATACAAGCGCCCAACAGCACTATACTGCACTACACTACCCAGCACTACTAATTGCTTAACCTACTCACTCTATAGGCACTTAAAGCTATACAACTGACTAAAGGAACATTCTACGCCCATGGTAATAGAAGTGGGAAACTATTGGCCAAGGCACTAAAAGACAAACACCAGAGAGCACACATTAATGACCTCTAAATTATCGACATTATTGCTCTCAGTCAACGCTGAAAAAGCATTCAATAGAGTTGATTGGGCATACCTGTTCACTACCCTAGAAGCAGTGGGCATGGGACCGACCTTTAGCAATTGGGTACAAACGCTTTACAGAGGAGCAATGGCCAGTGATTCACCTTCCTTCATGATCAGTAATGGAACAAGGCGGGGTGCCCTCTGTCACCCCTCCTTTTCGTTCTGGAATGGAATCCTTCCTTAATGCCATCTGGCCCAATGCAAATATACGAAGCAGGGGAAGGAGATAAAAGTCTCCGCTTTCGCAGATGACATCCTGCTCACCTTTACCAACCCGACACATTCCCTACCACACATAGTAGCAGAAATAGACAAATTCAGCGTGTGCTCCAATTTCAAATTAATACGGACAAATGTGAGATTCTGGGGTTGGGAATAGACCCACGAGTTAAACATAAGCTCCAATCTACATATAGATATAAATGGACAGATACGGAATTGACTTACTTAGGCTCAAGCATATAATCAGAGGTCTCTACCAACTAAATTACCTTCCCGCTGATAACGGAAATCGAATCAACATTGAAAAAATGGGACATGCCGCACTTCTCCCTATTTGGAAGAGTCAACATCATCAAGATAATGATTTTGCCAAAAATCTTATACGTCTTTTAAATCCTACCAATATCACTAACTAACCAATTCTTCAGAAATATGAAATGAATATTTCTATCCTGCATCTGGAAGAACAAGAAATTGCAATTGTCATACAAAACACTGACACACACCAAAAGAGCAGGGGGCATTGGACTGCCGCACATATACTGGTACTACATAGCATCACTATTCACTAGGATAAGGGAATGGACAGACATAGGCCGGAAAAAGTCATGGTGTGACCTGGAACAAACATTTTGACCAGTCCCCCTAGACACCCTACCCTGGCAAACGTGCAGTCTAAATAAACTCATATGCACTCCTCACCATGAGATGATCACAATTAAAACACTTCCTGACACATTCAGCAATACCATATTGGAGAACCAGGGATTTGACACCATTTGAAATCCTATGCAACCCAAAGACTAAACGCGTACGCTCACTCTCAGAAATGTATCGATTGATTTAATCCACGCAAGAAATGCAAGAAACTCTAACCTTCCAAAGAAAATGGATGCAGGGACCCCACATACACATGTCAGCCCGAGACTGGTCACAAATATTCACCAGGTCAATGGCAACATCAGTAAACCTCTCTGGAAGAGAGTAATTCTATAAGCGCATCACAAGGTGGTACAGGACGCCGGAAGTTCTCCACCAGTTCTGGCCCACACTTAACGATAAATGCTGGAGGTGCGAGGAAGGGAGAGGGAGCATATCTGGTGGGAATGTCTGAACCTCTGTACATATTGGAACAGCGTTCTATCTATAATAAAGAACATCCTGAAGCCACCAAACGACCCCGTTCCAGATATTGTTGGGGAGGCCAAACACATTCCCTGAGACGAGAAAACAAACCCTACTAGGGTTATTACTGGGGGAGGCAAATGGGCTAACCCCAGCACACTGGAAGCAAACTGAGGCTCCATCAGTCACTCTGTGGGTTAACAGAGTGGAAACTGTGAGAGAGATGAAAAATTTGTACTGGTCCTCCCAAGGTAACAGAGATAAATATTTGAGCGTATGGGAACCATGGCTGAATTACTGGTCAGATGAAGCAGACTAGACATGACCCCAAAAGATACAATTCCCAGGGTATCCCTTCCCCCACTCTACACCATGATCAGTAGGCTCGACAGGAGTCCAACATTCATAAAATACAGAATAGAACGGTCAAAAGTAACCACGACCAGTTGAGTAGCAGCAATGCTTGAGGTGACCTACTTGACACCAGATACAGAAACTACGTATCACATGAGCTCAGATCCCAAGAGACATAGTCTCTATAAAGGGTCCAACTAGGAAAAGATGAGTACAAATAAACTGGAACTGCAGACTCATGTATTTGGAAATACTGTAACCTATATGTTGCAAAGCATCTCTGTAATTGGAAATGTTTAATATTTGTATAGAATGAACAACACCCTGTTATCCCCCTTCTTTCTTCTGTATCCCATGTCTTTAAAACAAAACAATACAATTTGAATTAAAAAAAAAAGGATTATAGTTAGGTAGAGTTTTCCCTCTTTTTCAAGAGTTTTCGGTCATCCCCATTAAGTTTAGTTCCAAAGAAGGAGCTAGGCTAATACATCACATGTAATACCCAAAAGGTGATACATTAAATAACATGATTTCTAAAGAGGAAAGTTCAGTGTCTTATGCAACTTTTGATAAAACATTGAAGTTGGTTAGGGGATGTGGAAGGGGAGCACTGATGGCAAAGGGGGATATCGAATCTGCTTTTAGGTTGCTACTTATTCACCTGCAGTCATTTAATCCTCTGGGTTTTCAGCTTGTGGGTCAGTATTTTTCGATAAGTGTTTACCAATAGGTTGCGCATTGTCCTGTTCATATTTTGAAACATTTTGCGACTTTCATTGAGTGGATAGTACAGTATGAGTCGGGTTTGAAACATATAAGGCATTATTTGGATGATTTTATTTGTTGCCGCAAAAGACAGTGGCAACTGTAAACACTTATTAGAAAGTTTTCAAAAGGTGACATGTGAATTAGGTATCCCTTTGGTGGCAGATGGTATTACCAGCATGTTGTTTACAATTCCTTGGTATAATCATTGATTCATCAAAGATGGAGTTTAGGTTGCCGGAAGAAAATATCAAAGATGAAGATGCTGATTCAACAGGTAATTGGTTGTGAAAAAGTGACCTTTAAGGTGTTGCAGTCTTTATTAGGTGTGTTGACATTCGTATCAAGGGTGATTCCAATGGAGAGAGCATTTACTAGGAAGTTGGGCATGGCAATGGCAAACATCAAGTCTCCCTTTGCACAAGTTAGAGTAACAAGAGAGGTAAAACAGGAGTTGAAAGTGTATAAGATGTTTTTAGAAAATTTTAATATAAGGTCAGTGTTGCAAAGTGCAATTGGTTTACTGGAGTGGACAGTGGTGTGCGCAAGAATGGCTAGAGTCATGGGCTCCTCTTCTGCAACTGTCACTAGTCTAATACTATCCTTACCCTCAACCCCTCTGTTCCCGTGTGTCCAACTTGTCTGGTTACAACTACATGTCTGTTTGTCCACCCATTGTAAAGCGCTGCTGAATTTGACGGCGCTCTATAAATATCATAATAATAATAATAATAATAACTTATGGGGGGAAGAGTTGCAAGATAGGTGTCTGTTTGCCACATGTGATAATTTAAGTGGAGTCATGGTGATCAGTTCATTGCAGTCTAAGTGTAAAAGGTAATCAATTTGCTTAGGCAAAAAAGGTGTTTGCAATTAAATATTTGGATAGAAGCCAGGCACATATCAGGTAAGTTGAATAGACTGGCTGATGCTCTTTCACGATTGCAATTACAGAAGTTCCAGGAAATGGCACGTCTAGCAGCTGTGAATGGAATTGAAGGACCACCATAGTTACCCAGACCACTTCGGCTCAATGAACTGGTCTGGGTGCCAGGTCCCCCAGGTTTTAACCCTTCAGATGTAAACATTGCAGTTTCAGAGAAACTGCTATGTTGACATTGCAGGGTTAATCCAGCCTCTAGTGGCTGTCTTCCTGACAGCCATTAGAGGCGCTTCTGCGATGCTGAATGCGAAAATTGCATTGAGCACGCCGGGCCTCCATAGGAAAGCATTCATCTCCACTCAGGAGGAGGGGAGGAGAGGAGGAGAGGTCACCAGCGCTGAGGGAGTCCGGCGCTCAATAAAGGTAAGTGGCTGAAGGGGTTCTAACCCCTTCAGCCAAGCGTGAGGTGGGCCCTGAGGGTGGGGTTACCCTAAGGATTATATAGTGTCAGAAAGATGGGTTTGTTTACCTGACACTATAGTGATCCTGTAAATTGCCATTGCTTTTAAAGAATTCAGTGGTCGCTTTGACGTGGCTAGCTTATGTCAGGGCATGGAGTGAGTGGTTTACCTTTAACAATGTGAGTGGGAGTAATCCACTTTGAAAGGATAAGGAGAGTGCAGTTCATTTGGTAGTTAATTTTATGCGGAAAGGCGTTTCTAAACCAAAGTTAGCAAGCAATTTAGCAGGGGTGGATTTCTTTCGTAAGTTGTGCGATTGTAAGCCAATCAAACAGTATTTCATAATCTATCAGCTTTTAAAGGGTTATGGCAGTAAGTTTCAAGTTAGGGATAATAGATAATAGAAAGCCTATTTCATTTTCAGTTTTTGCACAGTTATTCGAAGTTTTGAAAGTAGTATGTTATTCCCCTCTTTGAGTTAGTTTTATTTAGATGTTCGTTTATAATAGCATTTGCAGAGCGTTAAGGATTGGGGAATTAGTTTCTAGAAGTACATTTTGTTTATCAGGTTTGCAGTGGGAAGATATTATAGTTAGAAATAGAAGGTTATGATATTTATTAGTAGATTAAAAAAACTGACCAAGAAGGTAAAGACAGATAGTTGTCATTATTTAACATACAAGGTTCAAGCATGTGCCCAGTGAGAGTGACGGAGGAATATTGATTATTGCGGCCAAGAGAGTCTTTATGCATGTTGATGCTAGCCCGCTAACAAAATTTCTATTTAAAAATAAAAGCTTTTTAGGGTATGCCTGACTAAATTGGTTTAGGCAAAGAGCGTTATTCCTTCAGAATCGAAACTGCAACAGAAGTGGCAAGGTGTGGTGAAAGTTAAAGAATCATTAAAAAGCTGTGAAGATGGGATTCTAACAGATTCCAATTATATGCCAGACTTCATTTGTTTAAAAAAAAAAAAAAAAAGGAGCATGATGAAGGAATCCCTTATATGTAAGTGGTAACTGGTTCATAAAGTTTGGTGTTTCATGTAATTGGTACATATACTAATATTTTTATTTTTCTGTTAGGTAATAAGAAGCCAGTAATTGCCTGTGTTATTGGTCATTCGCTTGTATTTTGGGCCCAGAAGAGGGCACAGGAGCACATATACATCGAGAATCTTGGCTTGAAGAGCACTTCAGTTAAAATATTTTGAAAGGCACTAGTCGTGCTAAGCGGTCAGTTATTGGAAATGTTGCAAGAATGTTTATCAGTTTTCCTTATCCAGATTTAATAATAGTACATTTAGGAGGTATCGACATTGGCTACAAAATCGGTGAATTTCTTGCAAGAGATTAAGAAGTAAGTAAGCTATTTAAAACCATTGGAAAAGGTGCAGAGAAAATTAAACAGAGCTCTAAAAAACATCGGGGATGCATTCATATAGGCACATAGATATTGAGGGCAGTTGTGCAGGTTTCTATAGCAGCGATGTGATTTATTTGTTCGACTTCGGTTTAGATATATTTATTTTGAGTATTCAGTCTTCAGTCTATGCTGGTGATGGCCGTGGGCTTTGGGGGTCCACCGAGTTTGGTTGCCCAGAAGCTCGGTGGCGTTGGTATATAAGTCACCCTCCTGGGCATCACAGGTTTATTTGGTTGGAAATATATTTATGGCTCCTGACTTTAAGGGGCAGAGCCTGGAAATGGGCAATAGTTTTTTGGTTATTTGGTTTTGGTTTAACCACTTAAGGACCAAACTTCTGAAATAAAATGGAATCATGACATGTCACACATGCCATGTGTCCTTATTAGTTATGGTTTATTGTTATTGGTAAATCCGTAATAAAAGTCACGGCTATTCGCCACATGTTTGTCAATTTATAAGGAAAAATAAACAGTTTAAAGGAAGAAGTTGTGTTTTATTTATACTATATATCAGGAAGAATGCAACATTCAAACCCCATGCATTTTTTTAAGTGTCCATTTCAACTAAAAGCACTATAGCTTACTGAGCTAATAATAATAATAATAATAATAATCAATTCAAATGATTTATAGAAAAATAATTGCAGATGACAGTGTTATTTTAAGTATGGATAGAATATTAAATGTCCAGCTGCATAAACAGTGTGTAGTGAAATATATTTGAATTGAATCTCTGTTTTTATAATTACTGCTTAATTTTCTGTTTAAATCTGCCAGAGGTCACAGGATGCAAAATCTTATGCAAGAGAAAGTTATGATTCAAAGTGGACACTGTCCACATAACTAAGAGAGTGGTTGTTTTTGCTATCGCTGTGTTTTAAAATGCTGTGAAACAGTCTCCCAGTACTTAAAACACTTAACCCATATTATACAGGATGTTAAATATTCCTGTGCGGGATGAAGGCTATTAATATTATGTGGGAAATATAGTATACCACACTATTATAACGGGAAGTGTATATTATTAATGGATTTATTCAATTACCCTCAAAAATAATATAATGCCTTTCAGGTTTTTTTCTCATGCATATCGGCATTTGATTGAAAAATTGCCTAACTGTCTGAAATTATAAAAAGAAAGATAATGGGCACATTTTCTTTTACCTTTTCTGTTTAGTTTTTTTTGGTGTATATGCAATGTATAGCAACACTATGGATTTAATAAACTTTCTGTCACTTTTTTTCTCCACAAAAGGACTTTCACTTATCTTTTTCTGCCACTCTAGTTTTTCTTTCTGAACAAATTGGCAGAATTTAGGCAAACAAAACAAGAAAATATCATTGATATAACACTTTTCAAAACACTTTGCTAAATCTCCCCACTGTGTCAGTAATTTGTGTTTTCTTGTGATGGTGTTGTGAGAACAAGTATCCCACATTTTTGAGAGACAATCTATCTTTGGGTTTTGGATGTCTTTAATACCGATGACTGGTTACATAAATAAGCAAATGAAGATTCATAAATCAAATGAATAGGCGATGGCATGTGTCCAATAGATACATAGTCAGACGCATGCAATTTAGAATTGGTAGCAAAGTTGTCATTAACTTAACTTAAAATTTCAGATTTATTATTGACCTGTACATTTTATGTGCAAAATCTGCAATGTGTTTCTTAAGGCATTTGTCTATGACTTTTGTCAAAATGTTAGTACCGTAATTCTGCTCACCGTTTGCTCTTGTGAAACATTTTTGCAATGGTTGCTTGGACAAGCTTGTTGGGTAGACAATGCTAATAGCAGCAGTTAAAGGACCACTATAGTGCCAGGAAAACATACTAGTTTTCCTGGCACTATAGTGCCCTGAGGGTGCTCCCATACCTATTGTATAAAGCACAAACACACACGCCATGTGTATATATATATATATATATATATATATACATACACACACACACACATATACTGCTGTGTGTGTGTTTAGGTGCTGTGTATGTGTGTGTGAAGGCGCTGTGTGTGTAAGGGTGCTGTGTGTGGGCGCTGTATGTGTGTGTGTAGGTGCTGTGTGTGTGTGTAGGCGCTGTGTGTGTGTGCAGGCGCTGTGTATGTGTAAGGGTGCTGTTTGTGTGTGGGTAATGTTAATGTGTGTGTGTGTGTGTGTGTTTGTGTATGTGTGTATATGTAAGGGTGCTGTGTGTGTAAGGGTGCTGTTAGTGTGTGTATGTGTAAGGGTGCTGTGTGTGAGGGTGCGGTTAGTGTGTGTGTGTGTGTGAGGGTGCTGTTAGTGTGTGTGTGTGTGTGCTGTGTGTGTGTGTGAGGGTGATGTATGTGTGTGTGTGCTGTTTGTGTGTATAGTGTGGGGGTGGGGTGGCCATTTAGTTAATGTCCCCCCTAACTTCTTACCTTATGTAGGGAGGCGGGACTGTGCTGCTGACCTCCCTGGTGATCCAGTGGTGAGTGAACTCTAGCCTGCAGGGGGCTAGAGTTCACTCTCGCGAGATCTGAGCATTGACACGGTAACCGCGGCAACGCTCCGACCTCGTGAGAGGAATCCGGCAGAGCTGCTGGCAAGAGCTCCACGGGTCCTCCTCTGCCTCCCTCCATGCTGCTGTGGGTCTGAGAGGGAGATATTTGATGTCCCTCACCGACCCACGGAGGGAGGCAGATAGCGTGTACTGCGGGGATTAGGGTGCGCCCAGGCACACCCCGTGCGCACGCCTATGATAAGGATAGTACTAGCCTAATGACAGTTGCAAAAGAGGAATCAGTTGGGAGCTATTAACAGTTTAATTGATACGCTTTTATGAAGAAGTGGGTTTTTAATGATTTTTTGAAGGAGTGGAGACTGGGTGAGCATCTAACGGAGGAGGGAAGCGAGTTCCACAGGAACGGTGGACAATGGTAGTGCTTGGAGTTGTCATTGATGTTCAAATTTGTATTGATAATAAGGAAATGACAACTGAGGGTATCAAGGTTTGGGTGTAGGTAGAGGCAAGGTTTTCATCACACTGCACAAAAGTAGTTTGACTAAAAACAGAGAAACTGCACCAAGACTGCTTGAGCAGTAAGCTATAGTGGTTATGGGGCTTACTGTCCCTTTAAAGCATATTGTGGTTTATAACAGTTCCAAACTTCTAGCAGACATTACCTAGAAGGAAGACATCAAACAGAAAATTGTGGATCACTGGAGCCCAGATTGCAAAATATAAGTGACAATGTATTATCTTAGAAGAAATCACCAATTTAGGAAATTAGCTCACTTGGTTACTTTGGCCTAATTTTAGCCATTCAGTTTGCAGCAACACAATCGTTAAAAAAAAAAAAAAAAAAAAAGGAAAAAATTTGA